TGTCGGGTGTAGAGTTTGGACGCGTAGTTGATCTGAGGACACAAGCCGGGCTTTGTCTTGGTTGGAGGCAACCAGCAAGCAGCAAGTTGTTCGTGTCCCTTTGTTCCCAGACCCAGGGCAGCTACTTGGAGTCTTTTTTGTGCAACTGGCTTCAGGCGGTCTCCCATCTGAAGCAGCTGCGCTCCCTGTGCTTGGACTATGTAGGGTCCCAAGATGTCCCAAGACTTGAGTTGTAGTGAGATGTTCAGCTGGCGGATTTCTGTGAACTTGTCATGGGTTCGCTTTTGTGCTGACTTTAGCTACCGACGCTCCCAAGAACATGGCATGTGGCCTTCAGCCCTTGTCTTGAATGCGCTATTGCTGATTCAGTCTCCTCTCAAGGGTTCAACCTCAACCCAAAGGTGCTACTGGCATATGAGCGAAAGTCTAAGCCCCTTAAAGGGGGTTATATAGGGCATTCTTATAGGCGTCAATAAGGGGGATGCTAGGAGTTTTATATTGAGGGGACCCAATATAAACCCCCCAGTATACTACGACTGCTGGTGGACATAGGGTTCCTCTTGCAGTTCAGTACAGTCCCTAGTATGGTCCTTTATGAGGAACCCATGTCCATCAAATTATGTGGGAAATGCACCCCAAATCCTAAAACCCATATATACACATATACATATATACCCAACTAAATTACGTAAACCCTTATCAAGTTATGTAAACTTTTTTTTATCCTATTAAATTATGCAAGCTCTTATAACCTGCCCTATATAGACTGTTGCTCCTACATCGATAAATATAATCCCCGTTTCCATCTCATTTCCATCTTATTTTCCATTTGATTCTCTGTTATTGGGGTATTATTTAGGAGCTATTGAAGACCCTAAGCCCTAAACCCTAAATCCTAAAACCTAAACCCTAAACCCTAAAACCCTAAACAGTAAGCCTGTTTACGACCTGGAGTACGCAGATGATACCCTCATAATGGCGCTCACACCCCCCCCGGTTACAGGATCTACTCTCAGCAGTTCAGGTAGAGGCAACCTTATACAACATGTTCCTCAACAGTACTAAAACAGAAATACTGGCTAATCCGCGGCACCCCCTGCCCCAAACCACATTCGCTGACGGCGACCCAGTTCCAGTAGCCGAGGCAGTTAAATATCTGGGTGCAAAGGTTACATGGGAGAACCCCACTAAGGCAGCCATCAAGGACAGGCAGCAAAAGGGCCACATTGCCTACTGTAAACTCCAACACATGTGGCGTAGCAGACTTTGTTGGAAAGCCAGGGTCAGATTGTTCCATTCATATATAGTCCCCGTCCTTATTTATTCATTGTCTACTCTCACCCTAGAGGAAAAGCACTTCACCTCAATAGATGGATGGTACTTTAAATATCTAAGAAGATGCATGGGTATTAAAGCGTCGTACTATTCTCATATCCCCAACAAAGCAGTTTGGATAAAGGCAGGCAGGCCCACTCTACCGTCCCAGACCCTACTCACTCAACAGCTAGACAAGCTTGTAGACAGTGTTCAAAAAGCTAGTACGGATCCCCTCCACCACGTTATCTTCAGTCCTGGCTACAAAGACAGAATAAAACACTCCAAGTCTATCCATAGAGGCCCCCCCAGACCATACTGGTTTGACATCACCTCCAAACAGTCCGTAAAATTGCTACAAACATTCCCAGACCAATCCGCCATACATAGGCGAGACTTTTTAGGTGTAAAACACCTAATAAACAGATCGCCAACATTTCGCTTGCATCTGCACACTGCGCCTACACGCGAAGTCGGGTCGTTCAAGTTGTACAGAAAGACGCTAGCTAGCGCATGGCGGACGTCAAAAAAACCCTACACAAATATTGGCTGTGCCTGATGTCGCCTAAACAGCTTCGAGGCCGCACCTTTGACCCTCACCGACATCTTGGCCTCACTTTCCCGGGGTGGAGGCTCTCGGGGTTTAGGATTTAGGGTTTAGGGTTTAGGGTGCTATTTGGGGGTTGTATAGGGATAATGGAAAAGAGAATGGAAGCACTTTTTTCAGGGTTTAGGGCGCTTTTCTTCTTGGATAGGGGTTATATACGGGTTTTCTAGGGTTATATAGCAATTAGGTGTTGTGTGGAGGGTTCAAGGTTTCGATTTTAGGGTGTAGGGTTTAGGGTTTTGGTGTCGTTCTGGGACCCTTATAATACTGATTACGGTGTGCAGGCAGGCCTGGATGCATACATGTTCAGATCTAGGGTTCAGGTTTAGGGTTTGGGGTTTCGGGTTAGGGTATGTTGCGGCAAGGCGATGAGCGCTGTGATTTGATCTCCCTGACAGTACACGGCTGTCGCCTTCTGAGATGGAATGCAGTGACTAGTCCTTGTCAGGGTAGTCAGGGATATAGACCCCTACAATAGCTACAAGGTTCCAGAACATATTTTTTAATTTCTGTTACCTAGAATCCTAATATTCAGCTGAAATTATATTTTCTACTGGGGTTCCAAACCCCTTAGAGATAGTAGATACCCCAACATAGTACCATCACATGGTAGTTTCCCAACATGGACCCCAATATAGACTCCAAAATACTATGGTTCTTGTTAAAAAGGAACCCCAGTACGGTACCCCTAATTTCGGGAAACTCCTATTTAGTGAGGGGAATCTTCCTTCTTTGGAGGGTGGGGAGGTGGGAAGAAAGCCAAGGTCATGGGGTCGATGATGAGGCACTGCAATTCCTTGTGGCACGTGCTCCGAAGTTCATTCCTCAGCCAGTGCGGGTCATTCTTGGTAGTGTTTTTGCAAGTACGAATACTATTCTTATTCTTATTTGTGTTACCCGCTATCACAACATAGAAGTATCGATCCATGCTCTTGACTGATCAAAATTCTGGATTAAACGATTTCTTCTGCCACATTAGGGGCCAAAGATAACTTTAAAGGCAGGGCCGGTTTTGAGCCAGAACATCCCCAGGTTCGAAGAAAACGAGTCCCAGACCTCACATCACAATAGACATTTTCTTCTAAATGAAGTGTAAATAAGTAGGTTCTGATAGGTTTACGATTTTAAACAGTTTTCCATTCATTTCCAATTGGATTCCGCCTTAAAAGGTTTTTGGTTTAGGTGGACTCTCTTACTTGGCTGCTCTGAAAACAAGAAAGGGAGAGGTGACTCTGAAACCTGATGTGCTGGTTTAGGGTTTAGGGTTTAGGGAGTAGGGTTCAGGATTTAGGGATATGGTCCCCCTTAAGTAGATAGCATATGGGGTATATGGGGATCTTATTCTAACATACCCAAAGCCATATTCTATCTACTTAAGGGATATTATATTAGAAATTAACGGCTGGAACATGGCGTCCTGAGCTATCCCTTCATGGGGCTTGCGTGAGAGGGTCTCTCTTCATTTATCAAGTCAGAGAATCAGGGTGATCTCCAGAATAAATGGGGCCTCGAGTATTATTGTAGGGGGGGCGGCGGCTTTACTAAGCAGGAGTAAGGACTCTTTTGGTTATTGTCCTCACCACTATTATCAGTATTACGAGCATTTTAATTTCCACTATCGTTTTTAGTACGTAATGTTGTTACCATCAGTGCAGCGAATGATCGGCTTGCACTGGAGCAATGCAGTGCATCTCTGGTGGACATCATGTGGCAGATTTCTGCCCCGGGAAGAGGAAGGACTGTTTTGCGGGGAAGTAGAGTTCATTTGCTTTTTTTCTTAACTGTCTGTGTTTGTTTTGTCTGCAATGGTGGGTTGATTTTGAGTGCTTGCTTTCAAAAGCATGGATTTTTTGAAAGCTAACACTTGAGGTAAGCACACGGAAGCAGTGAAGGTAGGCAAAAATGTTCCTGCATGTCCAATTGAAGAACCTCAGATTCAAGCCCTACCGTGCTTGACTATGCTACGGTGTGACTATTTCGATCACAAAATATTCCGATTCACCTAGTAGGGTCAGAATATTTTCGATGTTTCACCCCTAAACCCTAAACCCCTAAACCCGTAATCCCCAAACCCCTGAAGCCCTGAGGTTGGAGCAGGCCGGGAAGCCGCCAAGCTTCTTCAATACTATATCATAGATAATGGAAACCAACATGGAAAGTACTATATATATATATATTATGGTAGGGATAATGGAAAAGAAAATGGAAACTACTTTAGTATATTGGGGTAATATTGGGATAATGGAAAAGCAAATGGAAACTACTATAGTATATTGGGGTTATATAGGGATAATGGAGAAGAACATGGAATCGGTGTCCTCTGGTTCTTAGTGCAGGTGCGCCTCTTCCCAGATTCGTGGAGACAGGCTCGCTTGTTGCGTTGTGGTGGGTTTTCCATGTTATGGACGCTATTGATCCATGTTGGTACTGGGTACGCCATGAGAAATGCCCGCGTGGACGGCCTGATTGTATTTTGCGAGCTGTAGGTCGGAAACGTGACGGATGGCCTCCAACTTCTGGCAGGATGCCTGGACACCTCCCCAAACTTTGCGTAAACGTGTGGGCGGATAGCTGACGCTGGCAGGCGCAGTACCTCAAACCTAGCATGCGCCATGGCCTATGATGCATGCCTTTAGGTCGAGCAGCTCGCACTCAAGAGCTTGGCACTGAGCTCGTCGGGGCCTTGGCATTCGTTTCCTGCTGCATCACTGCTGCTTCATATGAAGCTCACCTCTATGGGCAGGGTCACTTGAAGATGGGATGGTGGGGGGCTTTTGCAGTGTGTGTCCCAGGCGTTCTGCCCTCGAGGCTGAGGGCCAGGCCATTGATCTAACATGTTCAAGTGTGTGCATAAGACTGGGGGTCGTGTTGGGGAGATTTTGGGTTCCTCTGAAGAAGGATTATCGTGTTTTTTTTGGAGAGAGGCACGCGACTGTTCGGATGCTCATGTCCCGACCTGTCTTGCGAGTGTGAAGCAGAAGGTGCAGCCAAGGACAGGCTCAAGAATGAGAGCCGCCCATTGAAGTTTCCACCAGCGCCTGCAGCCTGAAATGGGGTGGCAGGTTTGATATTTGAGGAGATGCTACAACTGGTGGCCGAATTGCCGGGTGTCTTTCGCAGGGGGACTGAGTTTTCAGGATCGTGCCGGCGACTCTTTGAGGATCCTTTTGAGGAGTGTACCTACCGCCTACGAAGGCTTGATGACTTTGCGGCCAAGCTTGCGAAGGAGGGTTGGCACGACTCAGAGTCGGAGCGGTCGGCTCCCGCTGCAAAGCATCCTTGGCAAGACTCTGATTCCGCCTTCCTCCGAGCTGTTCCAGACAAGGGCCTGGAGCTGCACAATGTTTGGAAAGCAGCTTGGGAGTTCTGTCAGGATGCATCCAGGTCTGCAGATGAAGAGGTAGTGCGGCGTACAGCCCTTCAAGCAATCTGCCGTAGGTTCTCGGTTGCCGATGGCTGGCTGCGGCAGCGCCTTGCTGACCTGAGGCCACAGTGCAAGGACTTGGTGATTTTTTTGCCAGTGCTCCGGGCCGAACTTGACAAGCTGAAAGCGGTGTTGACAGCCGTGGCTGCTGGATCCTCGGGTGCAGAGGCTCTCACTGCCAAGGCTGTGGCAGCAAGAGGCCAGGCAGAGGCCCGATGTGCCGCAGCGGCAGCGAACGTGAAGTCGCTTGCCCAGAGGGGCCCGCGTCATCCTGTTCAGAGGCCCAACCGTGCCACAGCTGCAGACAGCCTGCACAGCCCGACTGCGACTGCCGCATCCCCAAGCTCCCCACAAGCGTCTTCGCCACCACCACCAGTGCAGCCGCCATCCTCGGCAGTGGAGGGCATCCAGAGATGGGTGGAGAGTGTGCGCCAAACTGGAGCTGTAGCTGCAAGTAGCAATGACAGGGACTGGCGACGGCAACTTGATTTGTTGAGGGCAGGTTTGACAGGGACTGCAGTGTGCCTGAGCCCAGAGAAGGGCTCCAAGCTCCCAAGCCTTCCAAGCCTCCCAAGTCTCCGTCGCAACTCTTCACCGAATCTGGAGGAGTGCCCAATATGCCTGGAGCCACTTCGACCTCACAAGCAGTCACTGATCCCACTGGTACCTTTGCCATGTGGCCACTCCTTTCACGCAGCGTGCGCGTGCCGGCCTCAGTTCATGGCAGAGCAGCCTTGGCCAGGGGTAGGGGGGTGGGGGATTCTGAGTTGGTGGTTTCAAAATCGTCTTTTCCGTTCAGACGGGAGAACGGGAGGTGTCATATTGCTTAAAGCCTCCCTGGTCTGTGCCATTAATCAGAACTCTTCCGTTGCCAGGTCTCAGTGGCTGCAGAAGTGCCCGCGATGCCCTATGTGCCGACACTCGCCTTTCGTGCCTATGCCCAGCGAAGATGCCAGCAGTTCTCCGTCTCATCCTAACTTATTGCGGGAAGCTATGCAGGGTTTGAGCTGAAAGTCTCGCCCGGCCTGTGTTTCACCCGGAGCACTGCAGATCCTTGACATGCAGACAAAGAGTTTGCTCAAGTGTCCGATGTCCGTGCTGCTTGGCGACGTTGCCATAGGAAGGGAAGAGCTGCATCAGGCCGGGAGCTTGACGCAGGGTCTTCGAATGAGGCCACCAGCTATCAGCACTAGCACTTGCTGGTCACTCCTGCGAATGGCCTTAGCCAGGTCCTTGTCCTTGTTCGCGCCGCTAACAAACTCGTCCGTGAAACAATGCGGCATGTGGAGGCCTGTGAAAGTCGGGCTCTGAACAGGAAGGTAGCGGGAAGGTTTCTGGTGGGTAGGTGCTTGCGGCATTTGTGGCTGGGGCCGCACAAGCTCATGCAGAAAGGCGTTTCTGCGGAGTGCAGGAGTCTCAAAGAAGTTGTGTTGGGTCTCACAAACTTGGGACGTATTTGGGCTGCAGCTCTTCTGCTGCTACTGCTGTTGCATGGCATGGCCATGCGCAATGAAGCGCCTGTGCTGAGGCCTGATTGATGACGCAGGCTTGCAGGCTGTTGTCGACACCTGCAGCTTGTTGCGGGAGCTTGGCCAAACTGCTTGCTGGGTGTGTGCTTGTCAAAGAGGGGCCTTGGCAGGACTTCACGGTGGCCTCCCACTTGATAACCGATGCTGGGGTTCGCCTGGTACTGGTCGCATGCCGTGCCTTGGCAATCACGTGCTCTAATCTCGCAGCTCTGCCTTAGTTTGGTCTTCAGCAAGTGGTATCCATCCTGTTCGTTGCTTTGCATGGGCATCAGGTGAGCTCTGCCGGCTTCGCTGCGGCGGCTGTGGAATCACAGTATCCATCCCAGATTCGCTTTGATTTTGCAGCTAAACGATCGTGCTCATTGCCTTCCTGCAGGACGCTTCTTTGCAATTCCTGGCAACGTTAACGCAGCCACGGTTAGAACGTTTCTCGCAGTTTCCCCAGGTTGCCATAGCCTCATCATGGCATGTGATGTTTGGTGACGGCTCAGGCTGTGGTTTTCTGGTGTCACCTCAAATGGGCTACACCAAGCCGAACTTGACATGTCCAAAGCTGATAAACATGGGTTTGCGAGACTGGAATCACATTCAAGGTGCAGTCGTTTCAATCTCCACCACCTGAGCTGCTGAGGCCCTGGACGTACTTCGACGTTGACATTGCTTGATGGCGTAAAATTGCTTATTGCATCTTGCCGTTGCACTTGACGAGAAGGTCAGCGACTTTCGGGCAATCGTGAGGTTAAGAACTCACAATTGTAGTCCCTTTAGCCACCGAATCCAGTAGAGCCATTGCAGTCTGTGCTAGGGTTGCGCGTTAGTGCCAGTTGGTAATGCATCTCGATGCAAATCTCCATGTTGGTAGTGCGCAGGGGATGAGGAGTGCCTTTCTTGCCTAAACACTTTTGAAAATTTCGCTGCCGCCAATCCGTAGCTGGGAACATGCAGCAGTGGCAAAACTACCTGCAAAAGCGTGGTTGGCTAAGTCTTCCAGCTTGCCATGTAGAGCTAATGGTTACGGCTACGGTTGCAACAATGCATCGAGGCAAAGCAGCAAGGTTTGTTCAGAATGGCTGAGCAAGCTGCACATAGTATCTGACCAGTGTCTTGGCTGTCGCCCAGACCCATCAACCCGACTTACAAAACCCGCACGTAAAAGGAGTTCCCATCTGAGCGATACCCAGATGTATTTTGAGACGAGAGCCGATGGCGGAGCTGGATGGCGAAGATGATTCTGGGTTGTTGTTAAAGAACTTAAATTAGGCTAGAAGTATATGGGTATATAGTAGAAGTGAAGTAGACTTTCCTTATAACAGTAATTCATTAAGTTACCTGAATATGGCTTCTTCATAGCAGTGATTTAAGTTAAGTTCCTTAACAGCAGCGCGTAAATGCTAGGGCTTCTTCATAGCAGTGTTTTTTTAAAGTTACGTTCCTTAACAGCAGCCCAGGATTATGAAGTTCCCCGCCTGGCCTCGGATACCAATGCCGAGGCATTACAGCTGGTTCCATGAGCAAATTCGAAGAATAAGTGAATGCGCATTGGTTCTTGGCTGCTGGAAAGCCCTAAGCCCTAAACCTTAAACCGATGCGCGTGTCTAAACCCTAAACCCTAAACCCTAAACCCCAAACCCTAACCTGCGCCACGCAGAGGATCCTTGAAGAATGTGAGGAGGGGTCTGAAGATGTTTTGTAGAAGGATGCCCCTGCTAATGTAGTCGCCAAGCCATAATCAAGCAGTTTTGTTTGCATGCTGGTCTGCTAGTGAGGGTACCAGGGATTTGGATCCAAAAGCTGCTTGTGCTCTTGCCTGTTCTCAACATAGGTGCTACCATCACGGCGGCAAAAGGCGCCCGCCCCAACTCCAGATGCCGAAGAGGGCAAGAAGATGAGCAAGCGGAAGAAGCGAAAACTGGAGCTCAGCTCAGATCAGTTGATGGGCGGTTGCTTCGGAGCTGCGCAATAGTGAATATAACCCCAATATAACCCCAATATAACCTTTGATATTGTAGTAGTTTCCATTTTCTTTTCCATTATCCCAATAACCCCCTACAAATCCACATCATGCCTGGGATAGCGGAGCCCTCCAAGGAGCAACTGGCGCAGAAGAAGGCAAGCAAGGAGTTGCGGACACAGGTGCTGGAAGAGCTGAAGGACCGCAGCTCATCCCATGGAATGCCATCCCTATATTAATATAACCCTATATACTATAGTGGTTTCCATGTTATTTTCTGTTATCCCTATATAAACACCACATAACCAATCCCTTCTTCCTTGAATCTGAGAGGGCAAGCCTTGGTGTGCTACATGCAAGGCTGTAAAGCTGACAGCTGAACAAGCGGAACTGCTGAGAGCTTCACAAAGCACGAGGCTGCCACCCACTCTTTATCAAGATGTGCACAACCATAGCAAAACTAATATGATGCTAGGGAGATTAATATGAACAATCGTAGTAGCAGCAGTAGCAATGCTGAGAGTCTGTGCCCTGTGCAAGGAGCCCAGATAGATGGAAAAGCAACAACAGTAACAATAAGAAAAAGCACGACAATCAGAGTAACAATGGTGCAAAACACAAGGAGTACACCCTAATGACATCATAGGAGTGTACTTGGGACACCGGCCAGGCTATCCAAAAAACAGCAGAAGGCTATGGCGCAGCGCAGGGCGCACTTGGGTGTGCCCCTAACATCAGACATGAAGGTGCCATTGGTGTGAGGTTTTGGGCTTGGGATCTGGGGCTTAGGGTTTGGGGGTTCAGGGCTTAGGGTGTAGTGTTGCTGACGTGGAAGAGCCCGACTTGCCCCTTGCTAGCTCACACTGGTGAGCTTGGAATGCAGGAGTAGACAAAACAATGGAAACTGCTACTGCAGGAGCTAGAAGTTAGGATGCATTCCTTCAATTTTACAACCAGAGGCAAGCTGACTGAGAGTTTCCAAAGCAGACACGCCTTCTTCAAGGAGAAGCTCAAGCGGCGGCCCCGTCAGCTCAAACGGCAGCAAGCGGGCGAAGACGAGGCCCTCCAGTGACACTACTCGCGCAACTACCTTGCTCCAATGCCAGCAGGATGATCAAAGCAAGGATGAGCAAGATGCGGAGGCGCTTCGATTCAGGCGGCATGCTTAGCGAGCATGTAGTCGGCAGGACGAGTCCAGCGAGGACCCGAAGCCCAAAAGCTGCAGCCTTATCTTCTTCAGTGGGAGCGTGTGTGCTGTCATGAAAGCAGCAAGCACAGGGAGCGGGTGCCTGTGATTGCAAAGTGAGGTGCGGCAGGTGCAACAGATGCAACAGCGACCCTTCCCGCGGCGGCTGAGGCCGTGACAGGGCTCTGGAGCCCGTTGAGCTTTCATGGCGATGGTGCCACGGTTGGTGCATTGCAGGTGGGCCAAGAAACCGGAAGCCAAAGCGCATCAAGGCTCCCGCTTTGGCTCACCCATGCACTTAGAAGAGAGAGATGGCAGTTGCAGGTCAAGCCCAGCTCCCAAAGTGAAGGCCAAGGCAAAGCCCAAGGCAAGGAGCTCTTGTGACACACTTTGACATTGTTGGCTTTACATGCAACTCTGGCACAACTTCTCTTGATTTCCGCAAAGAGCACAGCAGCTGCTGGAAGAAATTGAATTCGAATGAATGTAGCTTGTTCTCTGATGTGGTAGTTTCCCAAAATAGGGGGACCCCAATATAGACCCCAAAATACACAAAATACTATAGCCTTATTATGGGGACCCTTAAAAAGGTACCCCCATTTTTGGAAACCCTAAACCCTCCCTAAACTCTAAATAGTAGTGTCCATCAGTTTCCATTTTCTTTTCCATTATCCCTATATAACCCCAATATAACCCCTAATTTTGGGAAACTACCATATCGTGTCAGGCCGAGCCGAGGCCGCGAGACCCAGTGGAGCAGCCTCTCAAGCGTGCCGCGCCCTTGTCGGGCATCGGGCAGGGACAGTTGTTGGTTAAGGGTTTAGGGTTGTACTATAACGACTATATTGGGGTTATATAGGGTTAATGGAAAAGAAAATGGAAACTATAGGGATTATAGGGATTATAATTTAGTTGTTGCCTTTTCAGATGCTCTTTGACTGGAGGTTCACGTGCAGCGCTCCGCAGAAATTGAGGACTTGGCCGTTTGATTGCATGCCTTGGTAGCTGCTTATGTCGTTGACCATAGAGGACATGTTCCAGAGGCTTTCCCCTGTGAACCTTGCAGGAACAGCGATCCAAGCTACCAGCCATCATGATGGAGTCAGGGCCTTGCCCGCTTTGCTGACGTGCGGCATACGGCCCATGTTCACTTGCTCATTCTTTCGATTACCATGCAGGCAGGAATTCGTGGAGATGGTGTTGAGCAATGATGTTATGCTAGCCATGGCCTTGATGAATGACTTGCTTGTGAGCTTACCCTGAAGTCGTGGGGGAAGTAGTGTTTGACACATCTGCTAGGTCTGCGGCGACACCGGCTGTGGCAAATCGACGCAGGCTGGGAAATGGCCGTCTTTGAGCTTTCAAGTTTTCAGTTTTGCTGCTGCAAGGTTCCGCAATTCCTGTATGAGCGGCAACCCAAGGTGATGTTTGAAGAGTTCGGTTGTGAAAAGGACACTGGCTGGGTTCTGTCAAACTGATTGAAGCAGAAGCAGCCACAATTGGCACGCAAGAGCAGATGGGGCGGCATATGAAGAGAGAGAGAGTCACGTTGCTTGAGAGCACGGGACTGGCCGGGTTTGAGTTCTGGGCTCTTGGCAGCAACTTGCCGTTGCATGCAGACAAAGTTCAAGAATAGAGCACCATGAGCTCTGCGAACCTGGGCAAGGAGCCAAAACTGTGTCAGCCATTGCATACGAGGCTCCTCGAAACGCATATGGGTAGCAGTTAGCAGAAGCAGACACCTGCATTGCAAGAACAATATAGTCAAGGTGAGGAGATAAGACAAAACCATAGCCATAGCTATTCCCTCTGAGCTTTATAGGCAGCAAAGCAAATCAGCATCAGCCAGCCTGCTTTGCTTGTGCAGTGAGCGCTCCATGTGCGCCCTAGCGCTGTCCCAGTCTGTGACCAAACAGCTTCCGCGACTTGTTGATGCGCGGGATCTGTTCTCGGCCCATCTTCCCTGTCCTCCGGATCAGCTGCGACGTGTGTACCTGCGACTTGCCCTGCTGTACCACCCAGACAAGTGCTCGCCCGAGGAGGGGTAGGGCCGGGTAGGGTTGGGTAGGCAAAGGCTGGCTTGAGGAATTGAAGTTTTTCAGGAGCAGCAGGCGGCCACCGAGCTCTTCCAAGCCATTGCGGCTGTCTACGAAGAGCTGCTGCAGCCTGAGCCTGGGCAGCTCCGGCGCGTGAAGAGCCGAGTCGCTGCCGCGGCGGAGTGGCTCGAAGCGAATGTCCTCTTTGTGTTATCGGGGCTTGCGCGTAAGAAATGGAGCCCTGATGAAACTTGATAATGGAAAAGAAAATGGAAGCTACTATAATGGAGAATCAAATGGACAAGAAAATGGAAAATGAAATGGAAACTGGGGTTATATAGTGGTTATATTATCATGAAAAAAATATTCTGAAAAGAATTGCGAAGGCTTGGGGATCTGGAGGAGCTGCGACGCCTCTTAGAGGAAGATGCTGGTCGAGCTACCGAGCTGGACGACCTGGGCGTGTGCCCACTAATGTTTGCATGTGCGGGCGGATGTCTCGAGGCCGTCCGCATGCTTGCTGAATTCAAGGCTGACATTCGGGCCAAAAATCCCATCAACTGGATGCTTTTGGTTGTTAATTAGCTTTTCGTGTGTTTTTTATTGTTTTTTTTTTTTGCAGGGCGGTGTGAGTGACATGTGGCCTGCTTGATCATTGGAATCCCAGGACCGTGCTTTTGTATGCCTCGCTTGGCAACCATGCGCATGTGGTTCATTGGCTGGTTGATCAGGGTGCCGAAGTGACTCCACACGAGCTGGTGCTGGCCGCATACACGGGGAATGCAATCAGCCTCGGAGCACTGCTGGAACAGTACAAGGGGTCGGTCGCGGACCTGCGATCTGAAAGCGGCAAATCACTCTTGCACCTGGCTTGTGAAGGCTTATGCTTCTTAAAGCGTTCAGCAGAGGAGCATGCGAAATGTGTGGACCTCGTGCTGCGGCAACAGGTCCCCATAGACCAAGCAGAGCCGAAACAAGGTCGCTCATGCTTGCAAAACTACGTGACTCAGTCGCAGTAGATCATTACATGCCAAGAGCAAGCTTGCCTGTTCTTGCCAAGACCCGAGTGAAACGTACGTTTGTTGACGTGTAACGGCATGGATGTCGAATATTCCGATGCAGCAAGTAAATTTACTTACAGTAAGCTCTCATCATGTGCCCTCCCAGTGATAGTCCTCATAGACACAGGTGGATGATACACGGTGGCGCACTCGGGACTTTGAAAACTCTGCAGCTCACATGCGCGTTCTGGAGCGGCTCTGCGAAGAAGGAGCTACGCCTTGCCTTTCCTATTGCTGGTTGCGAGCAGGGAATGAAGGAATGACAAAGAACATGGAGACACGATTACACAAACACGGATCCCATGTTTCTGTAGGCTTCGCTCGGGTGCCCCAGAGTGGTTCTGAAAGGCAGAGCTCCTTCGGTACCCTGTGATAGACCATGAGGTCCATTCTATTGGCAACAGAGACTAGGCCCATAATCTGAAGTGAATTCAGTGGAGCGGCAGATAGGCAGGTATGCCCTGCAGGTTTGGGGTTTACCTGGGGTTTACCTGATTCTACTGTAATGACTAGAGCCAATTTTTCTCGGGAACAGGGAGCAGCTTCTGTTGGAGAATGCCACTCTCTCCCTTGCAACTGATACATTGCCATGGGGATGCCCGTTTTGAGGAAAATTGATGCCACCGCAGTTTCCAATGTGCTTTTTCGAGTGGCGTTTACGGGGCATCCGAAGTGTAGACAAATGTGCCGCTCTGTACAACTAATGGTAACTAGAGCTCAAAACCTTAAACCCCGAACCCCAAACCCTGAACCCTATATAATCCCCCATACAGACCCATTATAGTCGAGTAGTTGCAATTTTCTTCCCCGTTCCTTCAGTCCAGCTCTCTGCGCCAGGAGCCAGTGTCAGCAGAGAGGATTTAGAGGGACAAAGCGCGTTGTCCCTGGCTGATGCGAGTGGCCTAAGGGCTGTTCGAGAAGTTCTTTTCATGTACCTTTAGAGCCGCCTTTGTTTGATGCAGTTGTACAGCCCCCTGACATTTCTTTTTACTTGTAAGTGCGCATGCTTTGCATGGTTTTGTGCTGGTGGGTGTGTAGTTACCAGCCATTTCCAGGGAGCTATTCCCGAATATGAGATATGTTCCGCGAATTGCAGCAAAGCTTGCGAATGCGGGCTTGCAAACAAGTTTGTTTTCAGCAGCGTAGGCTGCATTTTTCAGAACACATAGCTTTAGCGGCTGATCAAAGTGACGGCTCCCCTTCTGAATGTGATGCCCAGACAGGACTCGGTCCGGGAAGCAACGTACCCTCCGAGCAAGGGATTACCCTTTTGATCAGCTGCTCGTGTGACCTGCCTGAGCTGTCATCCAAAAGAGCGTTGCAATCCCGAAGCCAGACCACAGGCCCATGGGATTCTAATGCAGGCAGGGACCTTGTGAAACGACAGCTGTTTAGTTTGAGCAAGGTCATCAGCGCAACCAGACACCAATGCACAGATGTTTTCAACATGGCACCAGCATTCTTCTAAGGTGCGGTCTCTGCAACGGTGAAGAGCACCTGATTGGCGTAACGCAGCCGCGGCGCGCGCGGCGCCTACCCCTATACCTTGCAGTACCTTGCTGCGGCTGCAGTAAGTGCAGCTTCTGCGTGCGACGCGTTAGGTTGCTGCAGTTTCTGTCTCGCAGTCCTGGCCTCGGGGATCATGACGACCCCTACCTTGCGGGCAGACTTGGGAGTGAAATTGTGCTTCAGGCGAGTGGGACAAGAGCTGAACGAGCCGGAGAAGGTTGGCTACCAGGCCCTCTGGAGAGCCATGTGAAACCGGGCACGTTTCCACAGGAAATGGATGCCAGGTCCGGTATGACAAGAGCCACTGCACCAAAGACATGCGCATCAAGTTCATGACGGATGGAATTCTATTGCGGGAGGCACGGCAGCTTGCACCCGAGATGCCTTGACAGCAAGAGCAAATTCCTCTGTCAGGCACAAGCGGATTTCTTATGCCGCAAGTACACCGCAATTGTGATTGATGAGGCGTTCGCCTTAAACTTCAACAGCGCGCCATGTGTCGTTCTATGTCATGCGGTCGTCGTGCGGTGAGGGATGCTCCACACGCGCCAATGGGCAGCAAATCACAAGGGCCGACACGGGCACAACAAGCCACAAGCTGTGTAGCTCCTGTAGTGAAAAAGGGTGTCAGATCTGAGTGCAGGGTGTGTCCTTGGCTCTCCGGAGGGAAGACTCCAGGATTTTGTTCTTCTTGCGACGTTAACATGCTTCAGTTATGGCGGGCGCTCAGACTCAAGAAGCAGCACAATGTTGGCATGCTTGAGTGACGTTTAGCACCATACCATACCGTTTACTGCCCTTGGCAGGCGCACGAGAGAGGAGCCTCTCCGCCAGAATTGCTGGGAATGCAATTGGTTTGCAAACGTTCAAGGCTCATGACGATACCTGAGCCACCAGCACCTCAAAATTCAAGACAGAAGCAAAAGTTGGGTCTCTGCTGTGACCTGCTCAAAACTTGGGTTCATCGACCAAGCAACTTCAGGAAACCCTTCTTGATCCCAGCTGTGCTTCATAAAGCAGTGTTTGTTTACAGTGAGGAAAGAAGCTGTACACACTAGTCACTCGTCGGCCAAAATCGCTCAGAGATTTTGAGGCCCCCAAATCGTCATGAGAGAGTGAACAACTGAGCAGTTTCCAGCAAGCTGGAACTGGCGATTTTTCGCAAAGCCTGCTCGTTGCATCTGCAAATCAGGGCACAACTTGAAACAAGGCCTGCTCCCAAAGCCCACAAGAGGCAGATAATAGTCATACCATGTAGTAGTGAGAATAGTAGAATAGTAATCGTCGTTTGTGGTGATAGTGTTCACAGTAGTAACAGTAGTAATATCGGTAGTTGTAGTTTTAGTGGTAGTAGTCGAAATAGTAGTGATAGCAGTAGTCGTGATAATAGAACTGACAGTCGTTATTGTAGTAATACTGCGGTAGGACGTAAGTTCGACCTACTTCTTGCAACTTCTTGCAAAGCATGCGCTACAAGCGGACCCCTTCTCCCCCATAGACTCCTCCACAGAGCATTTTGGGGACTCCGCTGGTACCTTAAAGTAATATTAATTTAAAACAGCGTATTAATTTACTCCGCAACATGGCCCAGCCTGCATAATTTTTTTCCCTATGCTGGGCCTCCT